GGGGGGGGGGTATGCGAGTTCCTTATTGGATGTATCGTTCTGGAATCTTTACTTCCGGTATAGGTTAGGAACGCCATTTGGTATACTGGTCAAGAATCTTCTTCCTCGTTCGCCCACCTGAATTCTTTAACGATCGCTCGAGTTGTATTACGGTCACGAGAGCGCTGTCTAAACCTTTATGGGGTTTTTCTTTTTTTTTCGTTCGGGTATCCTAGTTATTTATCGCGTCAACGATTTCCTTTATATGGAAAACGAATATTCGAAAATCCCGCGCATTTTTACACGCGTGTTACTATTGTTTGTTATCGTTTTTTAACATTTCTAATAAATGATTAGATCTTCTGGAACTCTTTTTTTTTCGAATTCTTAATAGTCTTTTCCAAGGAGTCGAGAAATTTGAAACTTGGTCGGAATACCTATACAGGATCTTTCAAAATGTTTCGACCATCATTACAACGATGGGTAACTCAATGTCGGTCGTTCGGGAATCTTCGAAGTCGCTGCTTTGCCTTGGTTGAACATTTTGATGAAAAGTCGCCCGGGTCGGGTCGATCGAGGTCCGACAAACAGCTCATGATAACCATGAGTTATCGGGCAGTAAGTTAACCCCTTATTCCCCCCGATCGTCTCCGCCCATTATACACGTTTCACGTATTCTATTATAGGCTCACGAGACTGTACCTAATGCTTCCTATGAATTGTTGCCATATCGTATTGACAGATCTTCCCTATCCTGATAATGACTGTACCTGTCAGTATATCTGTCTGTGTGTATGTATGTGACATGGGGACAGTACTCATTACATTGCTCATAAGTATCCCTTAATGTATTTATTCCTGGAATACTTCCTATTCAATTACCTAATGCACCCTCCATGTGCGTGGACCCCGAAAAAAAATATATAAAGGTAAATTCACACGTAGACAGGTTTGTCGAACGTCATAAGTAACTTTATTACAGCATCGGCATTTTGAGTTGTCAATTTTTAAAGGTGAGTTTCGCCTTTGACCCCACGTTTTCGTATGGTCCACCTGCTCGTACCACAGTCAACTTTGTGTATTCAGATATTTTCACGGATCTTGTCCAATCAGCGTTCAACAAATTTGGGTCATTCGTTTCGCCGTTACTTTCAGGACTGGTGAGCATCGTCACGCCTTATTTATCGTAAAATCCATAGCGACACTGTCTACCAATGACGGACCTTGGTGACGGCTAATTTAGAGGCAACTTCATTTCACAGTAACTCGTGTTCTTGGTTTCACGAGAAATCGACGGTAGCGCCATCTGCCGGATAATTCATTTAACTGTCTTTACTTGTTTTTAGGTTCGTCTGCCTCTCTTGTCTTGCCTATCTGTCAGCTTGATTTTTTAAGCCTTGTCGATGCGTATCAACGTTTTGTATGTTTTTGTTAGGGGCGGCCGTAGCCCAGTGGATAGGGTAGCGGATTCACGACCGAAAGGTTGGAGGTTCGCGCCCAGCTTCCAGCGGCATTCGCCAATGGGTTTTCATATGAAAACTTAAGTGAGTATTTATACGGATTTCGCCCAACACTGTTCGGATTCGGTGTATAAACTTTTGTAGGTCCCCTCACGCTGAGTTGAATAAGGCCCGTCTGGCAAGGTACATCGCCATCTAGTGTCGAACTTCCAACCTTGATTATTAGGACCAGTTACTGGCACATGTCCCCCATTGGGGATACAGCCATAAGGAAAGGAAGGAAGGAAGGATGTTTTTGTTAAAAAACTTTCATATTTTTGTTAAAAAACTTTCATATTTTTGTCCTTTTTAAATTATTGTTTGCTGTTTCTCTTTTTTAAAGCTGTACTCTATTTATTAATTTTTTATTCGGCGTTTAAAGATTTTTTTCGATTTCGAGTATTCGAGTGCAGTTCGCCGCGATTCTGTATAATGCCATGGATGGCGCTGATTCCCGACGGTCGTATATCGAAGCTGATTTATATTTTGTTCCGGTTATGTTTTGTTGTAACGGGTTTATGATTAACATCCACTTCGATCACAATATCTGCTTGCGAGGGTTCCTTTTATTTCTTGTTTCTTGCTTCCCGTCCAATTTGTCGTCGCGTATGGAATTAGTTTAAAAATGACCATTACAATTTTCGCGGAATAACGCCGCCAGTCTCACGGATGTACGTACATAGAAAGGTCGCTGACATTTAATTTTCCTTGGCCTCTCATTAAACTTCAGATTCGCTGTTAAACTTCACCATTTTGCGGGAAAATTATTTTTAACCATGTTTGTATAACCGTCGGTACCATTTGCAGGTAGTCATAGGTCGTTTTCGAGGAGAAAGCCAAGAGGTTATGGCAGTCTGTATAGTTACGCACAGCAAATTATTCATACGCAGCTCTCAGGCGTGTATAATATGATATACGGAGAATATTTTAGAAAGACAGAAACAGTCACGCAGAACACAAATACGGCATAAATGTTATCTCGATACGTCATGATTTACTCAGCGAAGAATTCTGCCTACTTACGTACATATCTATAGATGGTTATCTGCTTACATATCCCATTTAATCCTACGGAGTCTCAACGTATCTATAAATACGTAACAAACCAATGAATTCCATCGTGGCATTAATCTTGCGATACATCAGACAGTCACGAAGGTTACCGATCCTGTCCGTAAATACACACCGAGTCTTACAACACAATCATTACGAATCCTGGTCCACATTGAAATGCCAGTGTTAATTACTGACATAACATAAACGAACCTCTGACCTAATCTGTATTCTTAGATAAATACCTAATTATCTATACGCGAGCGTCACGTTTTTTTTTTTAAGTATCCACGATTCGCCGAACTTTTACTTCTTTGAGAATAGTTGTACTCTTTTTCTTTGCTTCTTCGAGAAGTTACGTATACACGGAATACCTGCCATTTTGTAAAATCGCGAATGTTTACGTCATGTGTGACCCGAAAACGATTGAATTCTTGTACGTAAATATATTAGGCGTATACGGGTTTTCATGGGTTGAGAGGCTTTGGTATTATAATAAATTGCCTATCTAGCTTACAATCTAGTTCGTATTCCTTAACTCGGATCTGACGCGTTGTTTTGTCTTCTCATTGTTGGCTCAGTGGAGTCAGTTTCGTTTTTACATGGGAAAAAGAGAACAGTAATGGTTACTAGTCTGGTTAACAGTGAGTGCCAACAGTAAAGTCCCACTTTTTAACATTTAGAATGTCGCAAAAGCCCTTTTTGGGGCTCTGGATAATTTCGAAATTGTGAATCACTCGTGTATCATCATCGTGAATAAATGTTTGATTAAAAAAAATTCCACTATTTTTATAAAAACTTAGCAGCAGTCTAAAGGTTAACAAAGTATTCGTTACTAACCAAACCAATAAGAATGAGTTCTTGAATAGTAATGGTTACTGGCTTCTAAATAATCTGTGCTGCTTCGCGCTGTTCGTCGCCTATTTTCGATGCTACCTGGGACTCGCTGCGAGCCAGACTGGTAACCATTGCCGTTCTTTTTTTTTTTCGTTTACCCATCAATGCGGCAACGAGTGCGCCAGCAGGCTCCTACAGTCATCCTTTCATCGCCCTTGGATTAATTTCGAACGTTCGGCAGTCTCGTTATCTTTTGTTTAATTTTCTCAAAGGTATAAGCCATACGGTGTGGTTTATCAGTTTGTAGCCATAGGGTCTTGGCGTCTTCGTGTCTCGTTTGAGAAAGATTGTTTATTTATTTACGTCGCAACGAGTGGCAGTCTATGGTTCTACGTTACAAAGGCCTAGAGACGGGGAGAGAGCCTCAGTTAAATTAAACGTGCGTTTCAGGAGAGGGTGGAAAGGACGATGTCACGAAATTATCCTGCGCGTACGTACACTCCCTTTAAAATTATTTCTACTTAATTACACGTCTTAAGCTCCTATAATTTTCTGCTTTTACTTTCTTTCTTCTCTTTCCTTTTTTTTCTCCTACTAACAATTGTCAATCATTTGGTAATCCAATGGCGATTGATACGCTTTAGGTATACCTGCGCGACGGGGGAGGGGAAGGGGGGGGGGGCGATTTGGCCTATGATGACGGTTATCAGCGTTACGTAAGGAAGAATGGGAATTATCGCGAATCGACTGTAGTTGACGAGTTATTAGTTTAATGCGATAATAAGGGTTTTCGTACTATATATCTTTATAGAGATAGATGCAACCATCTGTCCACGTGCCTTACGTAGCGGCACGGGTAAGGTTAGGGTTCCCAGTGCAGTTCGTTCGACGTGAATTATTTAAGATGGCGTGCTCGCACGTAACCTATCGGCAGGGGATGATTCTCAATGCTACCGCGACAAGAGCGCTTTGTGCATCCGCCTTAATGTCTGCCGTACTGTCTGCCATTCCTTATACCTTACCACGTTTTCTCGCCTCACCTCGTCCTCGGTCTAACTTGCTCGCCTGGCAGAGGCCGCTGGGCTATTGCTGGATCGCGCCCGTTCGCTTCCTCAATATTACATCAAACGCCCCGTGACGCCACGCGAGGACTCATGGAAACGGGTTTTACCACGACAGTGCACTCGGGGCGTCATTTGCCGATGATTACGTCTCATTATTTTACTTTTTTTCTCTTTTCTTTTTCTTCTGTTTGCGACACCCGGTATCGCTTCCAATTCTTTTTTTTTCTATCTTATCAAACGTAGTCGCGTGTCTTACGTGTCACACGGTATACGAGTTTTCTTGCGATTTTATTTACAAAAATAATTTGAAAATCATTATGTATTTGGTACAAAATTAAATATACAACATTATTTATTGTGAAATAATTATAAAAAATTCGTAATTATCTTCTTAATTTGAAAGGTCCTTTAATTCTATAAATTCACCCTTAGCCACCTATCCTCCACCCCCCGCCCTCCCCCTCCTCCACAGGTAATTGAACACTCTGCGTAAATTTCCTCATTAAACTCAATGGAATACGTATCCGACTCATTCGCACTCAATTCACATCGACTTCTTGTCATTAAGGTATATGTAATATGTATAGGTATTAGGTATACCTATACGTCGATTTTTTTCCTTTCTAATTCCTTGTAGGATTTTCGAGTATCCCGTCTATTCGTTGAAATGGAATTTTAGTCGACTCCGCGACACGCAATATTATTTTTCTGTCGAATACCACTTTCGATTTTTTTTTTTGAGACTGGTTGACGCGCGTATTACAGATCGGGCAGAAACACGTAAATTGAAGAATAGCGGGTCGGGCGGGTTACGTGAAGTCAAAATGGTGCTTTAATTTCACTGGTTGCCATTCGCTCTTTTTGTTTTCTCCACGTACTTCCGTTATTTTTTCCTTGCTGGCTCGTATTTCATCCTCGCACTCTGCGCGTTCTTACGCCTGACGCTTGTGTTCCGCCCGTGCGAGCTTTCCGAAGTCTTGCATACAAGCGCTTCAACTTATTACATACGGTGCTCGTGAATGCACTAGAAGGTGTATAAAAAGAGTCAACATACCTATGTAAGGTAAAGGTTGAATTTAACCTAACCTAACCTAACCTTTCCTATACTGGCCGTGAGTGCGAGAAAGACTGACTTACGGGTGCTCGTATATGCGGAAGAAGGAAAGAAATACTTTAATGTGCTTCTTAATTATTAACAGCAGGATTGCTATAATATAATAGAAACAGAGAGCCAGTGTGATATTATATTATTTCCTCCTATCGGGTATGTCTGTCCTTATCTCGCTCGCACAAACGCCAAGAAGTCCGTCTCACTTGCACTCGCAGTCAGTATACGAAAAGACAAAAATTTAATTATTTTTTTTTTCTTTTTTTTTTCCCTCTCGCGCTTCATTCTCATAAGTTAATATATTTCAATGCTACTCCAATTGTCTCCAATCGCTTACTTCTGGGGTTCGCTCGTAATACTTGCCAATGACACGAGACGAAGGTACGCTATGCTTTTGGCAGTAAAATATCGGTAAACAGTAATGGTGCCCAAAAACGCTTTCATGACGGCTAGGAAATCTGCACTTGAACTGTATAAAGACCTGTACGTGACACTCGCGCGCAGATCGCCGTTACACCATCGTATTCAGTGGATTGTTGTTCACTTAGGTTCTTTGTTTTTGGTTTTTTCTTTCTTTCTTTCTTCGTGAAGGCACCTGAGTGGTTGCCGAATGAATTGTCGCGCTCGGAGTTGTTAGGTGAAGGGTGGTGGGGGGACCGGCACGTGGCCATACACAATCCGCGTGTCCACGGATAATCTGCTCGTCCTTTTACCTTTTACTTTATTTTCTTTCACTTTCTCTGCCTCTCTCTCTCTTTCTCTCTCTCTCTCATACACACACGCACGCACGCACGCACGCACACACACATACACGCACACATATAAATTAACCCATTTATCTATCTATCTTTGTCTGATACCAACCACGGTCATCCTTATGGTTTTTCGAAGTCAGTGTATGTATATACACATAGAATGGTAAAGAAAGGGAGAGAGAGAGAGAGACAGAGAACGAACCCCCTTTTCCACGTAGCAATCCATGTCACAAATTACCTGCCGGCCGGCTTGACTACGTGGCTCCTGCTATTGAATACGATCAATAGTTCGAGACCTCCTGGTGTGTATTGACGTTTGTTTCGCTGAAGCCTTTGGCTGAATAATTCGATGTCCCGAAACGAGACTGTCCAAGTGACTAGATTATGGTTCGATTTTCGACAAGAACAGTCGTCATTAATCGACGACTCGCGGACTTCGATACGAAACTTCGTTTCACTCCTGCGTGGGGTTATGTAAAACTCAGGTGGAGTTAGGTTGGGTAAGATTAGGTTGTTTTTATTTTTGATTCCTTTCAAAATATCTCATTCTTAATCGCAAGCCCATTGCTACATCGTAACGTAGAGGGGAGGGGGGAGGGTCGGTACGTACTACATATTCCTCGTGCGAGTATCGTGACACGTTCTGGTGG